GCAGCTCATGGCTTCTTTTTTTAAAGTTTCCTGTACAATACTATAAAACCTGTGCAACTTTTCATTTATACTGTTAAATAAAGCTTAAAATAAGAGATATCCTCTTTAAATCGTGAAAAAATGGACTCAAACACTGAAAGTTAAAAAGTTAAATGGAGCATTTGTTATGTTGGTCATCATAATTTAGGCAACTTTAGAAAGTTGTTTAAGAGACGACTTAAGGTTTTATGTTTACAAACTATTGTCTGTGGAATAGCATGCACTGATCTACACATTTGATTTAATATAGACTAAAACCACGTGCTTTTGCCTTAATGACAAGTATAAAAAGGCAGAAACACTGTGAAGCAGCTTGCAGAACTGAAGGGGGGGAAACAGCTTGCAAAACTGCAGTACCTGAAACTGCCTACAGGAGGCGCCAGAGAAACTTGCAATTTTTCTAGACCAAACAACCTCATAAACATTCACACACACGAACACAGTGAGGCCAGAGAGAAATACAGCGCAATTGAGCACTCGGGACTAACAGCTTGCTCGGTGTATGTCGCGTATGATCCAGAATTTCTTTAATGTATGTACAAGGAAAACAGATCACAGTTTCAAAAATAAATAACATTAAAAAATACTCGCTTTAAAATGTGAGTGACCAGTCTAAGTAAGACCATGGCATTCTCTCATCTCTCTCTCTCTCTGTTTAATGTTTATTTAAAATCTCTAAAACTAGTGGTTATCCTCTCTCTCTCTCTCTCTCTCTCTCTCTCTCTCTCTCTCTTTCTCCTATGTTGTTGATCCCGGGTAATTAAACTCCGCAGGCCCACATGCAGAAACCGGAAACCCACTCTATCGTAATGCTTTGTTTTGTTTTTTAAACTACAACCAATATGAGATTAGGAGTACTAGGAAATATTGTGGAAACTGATCTGCATTCATTCATTCACATCAGTTGCTTTGGGTCAAAGCATCTGCTAAACCAGGGTTGTCAAACTCAGTTCTTGGAGGGCCGCAGCTCTGCACGGTTTAGTTCCTATCCTGCTTCAACACACACAAGGCTGATTTATACATCTACGTCAATCGCACACATATGCTCTAGCGCAGGTCACATAGCCCTCGCCGTGGCTGACGCTAATGCTGACGTGCACCTCTCCAAAAATGTAACTACACATTGCAAGACGCATAGCACAAGCTCTCTGATTGGTCGGCTTGGTTTTGATGACGAGTGTGAGTGGTGCTGACGTAACCACGCCGGTCCTACACCACCCTGGAATCGAACAGGCAACTTTACGCATGGGAGTCGGTTACTCTAACAAGGAGTAGCGAGTTTAACCTGCACAGTATTTCACGAGCTGGCCTCTGCTACACTCACCCCCGTTAAACCTCACTACCGGCTGGGTCACGGCACCATTGTAACCCTGCCAGTCCTACAGCACCCAACCTGCTCCAAACTGGGATCGGACCGGCGACCATCTGCATGAAAGTCAGTCGCTCTAACAAGGAAGCTAAAGACCATGGCCTCTAGCGTCTGTTGCTAGAGCGCCTTTTAGAGGTCAGAGGAGTGAGGTTAACCCGGAGGCCTAAACCTCACTCCCATTCGGGTCATGGCGCCAATGTAACCCCTGCTGGTTCTGTAAATGATTATTTACATTTGTGATGCCTAAATTTAATTGCACATTAAAATACTGACTTTATAAATGTTTATCATGTTTTAATATCATCCATGATATATATATATATATATATTAGGCAACTTATTAGATTTGGACAGAATTTCAATATAACTGCATTCCTATATTATTATGTGACATGTATACAGTGTCAATTAGGGATGGGTAGATTAACCGATATGTATCGATACGTGGTCATGCGCGTGCACGATGCGAGTGCATCGGTAGAGCAGCAGAGGATGAGTTAAATTTTGGAAGCAAATCGAGATGCATCGATTTTTGCGAGATGCATCGATTTTTCCAAAGTACAACTTATATTTTTAATATAGAATGTATTTTTTATTTATTAACAAGTGTTGTCAATCTGTTTTTGGCGCATAATTTAATCGACCTACATAAAGTATGCCTTAGCAACGGACTTGCGGATGTGTACACTTACACTACAACTCAGTGTATCAAATGTGCGGATGAAGCTAGTGGTGCGCCCTCAGAAAGCGCGAGAAGCAAAACAAACATTTTATTCCTCACTGAGTTTTAAATCTAAAGTATGGCAACATTATGGATTCTGCAAAAAGGATGGACGACTTGACAGGACAGATGCAATTTGCAAAATGTGCCGCGCATCTGTAAAATACACGGGCAGTACGACTAATCTGATATCTCACTTGAAGCGGCGCCTCGGTGTTGTTGTAAAAGCATCTTCCAGTGTTCCTGCATCCCCGGCTTCCTGCTCTGCTTCAACTGTAGCTACCAGCTCCAAAAGTGGTGAGAAAAGCATTGAAAGTTTTCTCCATGCGCAACAGTTCTGCTCGCTCTACGCCAATAATGAATGCTATTGCATTGTTCATCTGCAAAGATGTTCAGCCTAGTGTCACGGAGAACGAAGGTTTTAATCACCTCCTGTTAATTTGTATTTAATTATATTTTTATTACCCTGTTGTTTACAGTGACGGTGATGTTTCAAAACAACATAACACTGCTAGATCACGACCTTAAGTTTTGAATATTCAGTGGCACAATATATCTTTGTAAAACTTGTTTTTATAGTTGAAAAGTTAAATCACAATTCTTGTTGTGCAATGGTAAACCTTTATGTTGAAAGAGTGCAAATATATACATTTATAATATATATTGCACTTATACATTCTGTTTATCTTGAAAATACTTAAATAATATGTGCTATATGTTCTAAAATGGCCCTCTACTGTAAACTGACACTCTTTCTCTGAGAGAAAAGCCAGTTTGTAAAAAAACTTTACTTGGTTAATAAATAATCAAACTCATTCAATGGCACAGCATCCCTTCTTACATCATCTCATAAACTTGATCTAATAAGTTAGTGCTGAATTATCGCATTGTATCGTGATATCGGTGTGAACCGAATCGTGTTGCATTGCAATGTCACAAATGTAATACATATAAAAGGAGTGTTTAAGCCTGTTGCATTGCATTGGTTGCAAAGTGTTCACGCTGACAGCGATTTGCAAAACAAACTGAAGTAACTTTCAATTCAACTTTCAAAGTTAACTTTCACTTTTCAATCCAAGGCCAAAATCCAAATGAGTTTTCAGAGGCCTTTCTGTGGCTGTTTTATTGTAACCCCGCCCTTCCTACACCACCCAACCTGCTCCGAGCTGGGATCGATACAGTGACTTTTACCCTGCACAACACTTGAATAGCTGGCCTCCGCTACACTGAGAGCTGCAAGCCCGATGAAGTGATTGTTTACAAGTGTCGAGTTGCATGAAAGAGCTCCAGATTAGGGTTGGGTGATGTCAACCAATTTGGCATCGTACAATGTCTAATGTGAAACATTGCGATGGACGATGGCATCGTCGTATATTAATTATCGGAGGTATATTAATTATTTCTGAATAATCAATGAATTCATAATAAATTAATTATTTGTAGTCTACCGATTCAACTACATGACCTGCATGGTCTTTGTGTTACCCATAACCAAATCATAAATAAATAAAGATATGTTACACACAAATTACCCACTGTCAATCACTTTTTCTGCAGGACTCTTTACATCCAGCTTTACATCCTTGATAAACTGTTTGACGGGCACTGCTCTCTGGAGCTCAGATGAGCGCATGACAGTGTGTGTGGCTGTGTCTCTGTGTTTGTGTGGGTGTGGTCAGCAGACGGAGGGCGGTTCAGAAATGCTAGGTAAAAAGCAGTGTGGATGTGGATCATTTTCGTTCTAAAATGCCATTTTGAAACTAAGACGTATTAGTGTAAACTGAGCGTGAGTGTGTTTTTCGCAAGCGCGTTAGCTACTGGGGCGGGGCGGAGGATTTGCAATGCTGGCTCAGCATCGGGTTTTCTATCAGCCATCAGTAGGCCCACCCAGAATCTGCGTGCGCAGAATTCCGCAGATTTTTAGCCCATCATTAATTCTGTTCATTTACAAAAGTAAATGTGTGTAAATCTATATTTATTCACTTTTTTTCCCCCTTAATTTCAGTAATATTATTGACTAATGTGAAAACGTTCATCTGATTTATGTACAATGCAGTTTGTAAAGTCATGTTTTCTGTCTTTTACTATATATCATACGACAAACTTACTTTACCAAATAAAGTGAATCTAATTGGATTTGCATTTTAAACATTAAATAAAAGTTTAAGAAATATAAATTTTTATTTCATACATTAAGGTTTTATTCCTGATACTCCCAAAATAATTCTGCAGAAATCCGCAGACTTTTACCAAAATTCTCTGCAGAAATAGCAAAATACATCTGCAGATTCCGTCTGGCCCTTCCTATCGGCGATGGACGATGGCATAGCTTTTGTTTATCTTCTGATTATAATTTAAGCTACTTGTTGCTCTAAGAAAAAAAAAAACCACCGGTGAAGAAACTCGACACAAAGAAACATAACATAACCTACTGCCAGCTAACGTTTCGGAAGTGTTACTGCAGAGCAACACAAACAGCGAGCAGAAGTATTAATGCACGACTACGTGCAAGGCGCCATGGGTCACGCTGTTCACTCGACACAAAAGTATAATGCTGTGGTCATGCTAGAGTTTGAGCATGTGAAATTCTGTAGTACGCCGCTGTGAAAAGGGGCGGAATTAAACAAGATGATTAGAAAGCAGGTGATTGGTCCGTATAATAAATTTCTGTCCAGAGAGGTCATGTTTTGATCTTCGATTGGTCTAAGCAGTCACTTAATATGATTTCACAGGTCAGAGTTCACCAAGCTTGAACTTTTTACCACAGCGAACTGTGAAACTTGTTGCACGGGCTTGCGTTTTCGGTCTGACGCATTTGCATGCGTATGAATGGAACTCTATGGGGAGAAAAGCTGTGACCGCAGCTTAAATCAGCCTTTACCTGTAGGATTCAAACAAGCCTGAGGGACTCAATTAGTTTGATCAGGTCTGTTTAAACAGACTGGGAACTAAACTGTGCAGAGCTGTGGCTCTCCAGGAGCTGAGTTTGACACCTGAGTGCTAAAGGAATGCAGGTAAATGCATTATTGTGTGTAACTAGTCGGAAAAAGTGCTATCCCTCTCATTTACAATGCAGCCAGTCCTCTCTAAACGAGCCAATCAGAGCACAGAGGGCTGAGGAGAGAAGAGTTGATTGGTCCGGCCACACCAGTGTATGTTATTGCAGAGGCCCTCTCAGTTCTCTTCAACTTGAGATACCAGAAGAAAAGAAAGCATGTTTGCGTGAAAAATAAAAAAAGGATGGCTGTGAAAATCAGTAGTTGATGCTGCTGGCACATATGCGTGGAATGATGCGGGGGGGGGGGGGGGGGGAAATGAAATGAAAACTGCATTACAACCCTGTGTCTTCCAGTTTCAGTCTGTGTAGGTTCAGAAGAATTGAGGGATTCCCTCAAAAATGAACTAAGCAAAGAAAAGACTGATTATAATCCGTGACGACACAAAAAAGGAGCACTTTCTCCTTGAGTGGTTGTGCAATGGAGAGAAATGTGTGGAAAGAGAGCGAGAGAAAGAGGTCGGGAGGGTCTATGACTCAGACGAGGAGCGCGAGCCCCCCTGCACCAGTGATCTGTAGACGGAGGAGTTGAGGAATCGTGGGTAGGAGTCTCTGTGCATGAGGGTGTAGATCTGCAGCTGTGCGTCCTCAAATATGTGAGGGGTGGGATCCTGCATCCTCCTGTTGATCACTTCCCTCACGCGAGAGTCCAGACTCACCTACAACATGGAGACAGAGAGAGAATATGGTGAACGTTGAATAGGAGATTATTAAAATGCATTCTCTTTTCATGCCCTAGATTTATTATAATGTCAGGTGTTCCCAAAATATGCTTATAAGTATAACTTTTTATACCATGCCATATATGGGCCTTTTTGGATGGAAGCAAAAAATATATATATATGTCTCTTTAAATGCAAATGAGCTGCCGCATTCCCTCCTCTCTTTTAGAAAGAGGAGGAGTCTTTACAGATTGTCTCTATTATTCAGGCCTTCAAACACTTGTTGGATTAAACCAGGGCCGGAGTGGGACTCTTTTTCAGCCCTGGAGTTTCAAGCCTCAGACCGGCCCACCTCAATTCACCACTGACTATATTAAAATAAGGTTATTTCCAATTCAGTTTCTAATTACACTATCACGTCTTTTTTTGAGAAAACAGCACTTTTAGAACTTCAAATGTTCAACAACCCTTACAGTATTATGTCTTAACAATAAAAATGAAAAAAAAAATAAAAAATTGTTACTCAGACAAGGACCGAACCCAAGTTGGCCGCGTCATAATCTAACGTACTAACCACTGTACCGCAACAGCTATACGTAAAATGGTGACTTATCTAGTTATATCATCATTAACCTGCATCCTGCTCACTAGGCTACGAGAAAATAGATAAAAAGAGCAGAGCTGTGGTAAAATAATGAATAAAAAGGCTGTGGTCAAGTAAATAAATAAATTATTTTTAAAAAGTGTGACTGCTGAGAGCAACTGATTCTGGAACTAGGGACACCGGCCCTCGCGGCCAAAAAACGGACCGGCCCACCGGGAATGCTCCCGGTCCTCCCGATTAGCCAATCCGGGCCTGGATTAAACTTCTGATATTCTGTAAAGTTTTCTGTGTGCACAATTATTAAGATCATGTTATTAAATACCTAATTATTACATCACTTTTAATAATACAATATAACTTTTTGTTTAATTATGTAAATAATTTGCATGAAACATCTATGTCTAAAAACATCTATATCTAAAAAAGGCATTTATTGTCTGTCCCTACATTCTGGTCAAGTCTGTTACCTCTGATATTAAAAGGCATAACCATCATCTTTAAAGCACAGAAAGAAGCATGGGACTTGCCTAAACTGATGTCATTTTGTCTGGTAGGCACCGAGGCATGTCAACTTTTTCTTTCATCAATTTGTACATGTTTAAGATGCATCCATAGTAGATTCATTATTTGTTAACTCTGTTATTGTGATATTTCAGTGAACTTTAAAAAAATAAATGATTAAAAAAAATACAATTTTGTTTTCGACATGCCATGTGGTATCTGGTTTGAGGTTAGCATCTTGAGCTAAAGCATATAATAGTGGAAAATGTCAACTGTGTTAGTTGTTTTAAATGTTTATCAAAAAGTTGAAACAACAGTTAAGAATCAAATGTTCCCTATCACATTTAAGTATTTTACAGTAAGTTAATAACAGATTCAATATGAATGACTAATATAGGTAATGTAAATCATTCCAGTATAACGAAAATTAATGTAAAATACTTGAAATGTGCCTGTATGTGCTGATATAGAAAATAACTAACTCTAGAGTGGACTTTGTTCTTTGCAACTCTGCAGTATATATATATATATATATATATATATATATATATATATATATATATATATATATATATATATATATACATACACACAAACACACACACACACACACACACGGTCTGATAATATTTTTTCGTCTGGAGAAAGTTTTTTTTTTTGTCTTATTTTGGCTAGAATAAAACCAGTTTTTAATTTTTAAAGAGCCATTTTAAGGTCAAAATTATTAGCCCCTTTAAGCTATATATTTTTTTCAATAGTCTACAGTACAAACCATTGTTATACAATTACTCGCCTAATTACCCTAGCATGCCTAGTTTACATAATTAACCTAGTTAAGTCTTTAAATGTCATTTTAAGCTGTATAGAATATCTTGAAAATGTCTAGAAAAATATTATTTACTGTCATTATGGTAAAGATCAAACAAATCAGTTTTTAGAGATGAGTTATTAAAACAATGATGTTTAGAAATGTGTTGAAAAAATCTTCTCTCCGTTAAACTGAAATAGGGGGAAAAAATAAACGGCGCTAATAATTCAGGGGGGTAATAATTCTGTTTTCAACTGTATATATTGTAATGTTTACAATGAGCTTATTCTGCTCACCAAGGCTGCTTGTGAAAAACTTGTGAAATGTTATTGCACTCTAAAATAACAATTCAAAAGAAATTAATAATTTAATCTAAGAATTTATTCCAGTGAATTTAAAGATAAATTTCAGCTTCATTACTAAAGTCTAACACAGTCCTATTGAAACAACATAAAATAAGTAAGCAGTTATTTAAAGTTCTAATAAATATTTAACATTTTTATATATTTTTTTACATTTAATAAATGCTGGCTTCATGAAGAGAATAAATTTCTTTAAAAAAAATAAAAAAAAGATTGCAAACTTTTGACTTGTAGTACTTAGAATTTGGGTTAATTACTTTTTAAAGTCTGAATTAAACAACATGTTGGAATTTTGAAAGGGGCTTTTAACCCTGAGTTGAGAAGGACTGGTTTGAATTTGGTAAAATAAGCTAAAATAAGCTAAAATATGGTTAATCAGAAACTAAACCACTTTTTCCCCACATTAAAGAATGCACCTCGTACATTGACAGGAATATGTCAATAATTTGACAGCGATGCAGACTTTACAGACACATTCAACTAATTACAGTCCAAAACTCGTTCCTGGATGGTCAAAGTCCTGCAGAAGTTAGCTTCAACTTGCTTTAACACACCTGCCAGGTAGTTTCTAGTATACCTAGAAAGAGCTTGATTGGCTGGTTCAGGTGTGTCTAATCAGTGCTGGAACTAAACTCTGCGGGACAGTGGCTTTCCAGGACCGAGTTTGGGCACCTCTTGTCCATGCAAAATAAAGGAAATGACAAACAAAACAAAAATTCATGTGCAAAAATTCTTTCCACTTGAACTTCAAAAGCAAAATAACTAACAAATGTTTCGCCTGTATTCCGCAAATATATTACACAAGACATCTCCTTTTCAAATGTATATTGACATATGTCTCAAAGGCATTAACGTCACAACATTCGAATGATTTCTAAATGATCTTGTGACATTGGAGTATTGATGCTGAAAATAATCCTGAAAAGTTTTGCTATCACAGGAATAAATAAGATAATTTTGAAAACAAGTTATTTTAAGTTGTAAATATATCACAGTATTACTCCATTTACTAAACTGCAGATTAAATATATCCAAACTGTTTGCGTATAATCACCTTTCAAAAGCAGCATTAATAGCAATGTACCTCAGAAGTCCAACAAACATCTAAACTACAGATAAACCAGTTTACCTTATGGCCCATTTCCATTGAGTGGTACGGTACAGTTCCGCTAGTTACGCTTTTATGGCCATTTCCACAGTAAAAAGACGTACCGAACTGAACCGTACTGTACCACTTTTTCGGCACCCTTTTGAAAAGGTACCAAACACCAGAAAGGGTACCAAAAGGCGGAGCTAGACGTGCAGCTGAACGCTATTGGTTTACAGAGATGCGTCATTCGCTTGCGCAACAAGCCAGAATAAAAACAAAAGAGCCGACATGTTTAAAATACACAGCCGAGAGATCTTTTACAGCGTAGTTATATATAAATATAATAACGAGCCATGCTTGACCCGGGCTCAGACAAACCTTATCGTCGTCTTGATGAACAGCCACAAAGCCAAAAAGAAGAGCAGATTTACCCTGTGCTCGTTTTTTTACGAGCCAGTCTGAAGCGCGAGCAGTTTCGCTTTCTTGCTTGCGCTCACCGAGCATCTATATCTGAAATAACGAACTTCTTGAGCTCATGATAATAACGTGTGCTTGATTATTGATGTGCTTTTGAAACCCGATCCTGTCAGACACTGACAAACGCGAGAGTGACACGCAAAAAAAAAAAAAAGGAGAAGCTGGAAAAAAGGAGCACATTATTTTTCAGCAAACGTGAACAAACTGCCATGTTTAACTATTATCATCACCTTTTGGACTAATATGAACTCAGAATGATGGAATGACTCTCTAACAGAGGCTACATGTGCTGCTGAATATTACAGACACAGATGAGAGGTTTGCAAAGACTGTGGGCTATATTTTGTGTTGTTTTTGAACCTAAACAAGGACTAAATGTCTGCTGTGTGTAGTTCTTCTGTAGTTGATAACATATCGGAGACTGTAAGGGGCTGTATGTGCTCATATATGATGCATTTATTTATTTATTTTATATAATTGCAGACGTTACAGTAGGCTATTTTGCACTCATTGATCTGCAGTTGTACTCAAATCCTGTTCATTGAAAAGTTAGTAATAAACATTTATACACAAGTATTTAAGTGTATAAAGCATCTGTGTTGTGAGAAGTGCTTCTCATATGATTTGTGAACGACCTGTGCAGCTTAACTGTAGACATTTTCTCGAGGGAAAATTACGTCAACTGAAACTTTGTCATACTCAACGCCCAGCAAAAGGGTACCCTTGATGGTGGAAACGCAAGCCTGATAAAGGTGATCCGTAAAAAAACATACCATACTGTACCAGTCAGTGGAAACGAGCCATTAAATCTGGCTACAACTATGACTCTGATCACTCTACTGTATTTTCCTCCATGACTCTATTGAATGATTCCTTTGACTGTCATAACAGACACTCAACAGTACAGACACATTCTGCAACTAGCAGCTCAGGGCAACACAAACCTCATCCATCCAACTCACTCGCTCACAGCCTATTTATATAAACCTCTTTTACAGTAGTGAGTCCAGCAGGGATCAATTTATAGCTTCCTTTGCTCAACCTTTGCTCCTTCATTTATTTCTACAAAGTCTATTTTCCTCAGCCGCCTCTTAAAAAAAAATAATAAAAAGTAGCAGAGTTAGAAGGTGTGAGTTCTGGCTCCGGCGATGAAAA